TTCTCCCATTCCTGTTTTGCCAGTTGGAATTTTGGGTTAATTTCAGGCGGTGATTCCCACACATTTTTTTAGCCAGGCACTGTCTACCTGCAGAAGCCCTCTTGTGGGCTTTCCAGACTGCTACCCCAGCCACTCCACAGGAATGGACACTTATTTATTTGGACTCTGCTGGCCCTGCTTCACCACCTCCCACCCTTTTGCCTACAGCTCAAATAAATTCTTTCAGACCACTTCTTTCTTTCTCCTTCCCCTGGTAGTTTAGGCTCCATGTCCCAAGACCAGTCTTTTGGCTAGCATTTTTGCTCAATAAAACCCAAGATTTTTAAGTTTAACATATGAAAACCTGCATATACCAGTGCAGGTCTCCAGCAAGTTCACGCAGGCAATTTTTTATTCAAATGCTAATACAAGACCCATTATGAGTCAACCAAAAAAAAAAAAAGTGTGTAATTGAGGGGAAGGAAGTTGGCGGATTGAAAATTGGCTCCAGTTGAGTCTACCTGCTCCAAGTCACCCTTGTTTAACATATACAGTACTAATGTGACTTAGTTTTTCCACAGGTATTTCAACAATAAAAGAGTTTTGATAAAGCTAAATTTCATGCACACTTAATTCATCTAGCTGCTTAGCTTAATCACCTTCATCCACCCATTGTCAAACACAAAAGTAGCACATTTTCAGTCTATATGTTGACATGAGAGTTGTTAAAGCAACACCTGAGTACTTGGAAACTGCCATTATTTTATTTGCACTTCCCTCTTCATCAGCTAACAAAGCCTCACTTGCTGAAATGTGTAAGAATCTGATAAGGTGTCCATAATGAAAGCTGTATTCCTCATTTAAGCAACAAGTTTGGCATTCTGAAGAAGAAATAAATGCACATTTTTCTGGTCACTTGCATACTCTCCTCATGATCCCCTAACAGTTCAACAATACAAGATAAACTGACTTCATTGTATTTTTCAAAAGGAAGAGGCCCCGATTTTCAGGACAGTTACTAATACAGTATATATATTCCACTTTTCAATTAGGTTCATACTTGAGATGGGATTCTAAAGTACTCTTCTATTTAGATATCCCAGATCTCACAGACCTGCAAAATGGTATTGTAATACTGCCAATTGCTCAAGATTTTAAAACTTTGTTAACTTCAGAACCTAAAAGACCTTTTTCAACTAGTCTCAAAAGCAGCTAATCTTCATTCTTACAGTGATTTTGATCTGTTTTTTAATAACCAAAAGTGTACTGAAATCAGTGATGTCTAATATGGTAAGCTCCTTCTTCTAGTCCTCAACGTGTGGAGGCTGCTGCCTCAGCCACCTAAACTAGAATGCAGTGTGAGTTTCCTTCTAAACTATACCTTAGGAGGAAAAACCTACCAAAGAAAAAGACTGCAAGTTGCTCTTTTGCATGACGACAACCAAAGAAAAGGGACACAGTTTTGAAGAAACAAACACCACAAAGTAACAGCAGGAAACCCTGCAATCTCAACAGGACAAGTAGCATGAGGTAGAAAATGATGAAATTGGGAAGAAACCTGACTGAAATAATGATGAAAAGCCAAGCAATGCTACTGATATGAGTAGGAAGAACTGGATACTCTGAAGTAGACTAGGTTGGGTAAGGATGGGGGATTTGGGGAAACAAATAGAAAAAAGGACTTCAAGTCTCCCTTTCTCTGAATGCACAGGCTCTTGTTCTCTGCCTCCACCAATAAATAGCAGCATATGCCTGTACACACCAGTTCAAAGACAAGCACCATCAGCAAGGCAGTGGACCCACTGGCTGGGAGTTACTCTACTCCACCTTCTGTAATTTCAAAGCATGATTTCTAAGTTTGGTATATCGTATCCAGTTCACAGCAAGAACTATGTATATTTGACTCAATTTCAAGAACTTGCAGAGAAAGATGAATTGTGCTTATTATCTTTTGGCCTTTTATTCTGGCAAAGATTTCTTCCACTTTCAACTCACAAGTGTAGAAAGGTAATGTAGAATCTCCACTATTAAGAAACAATTTACCAGAAATCTTTATTCTCTTTTCTAGCAAGGAAGAAACTGTACTTTAGACACAATCTTAAAACATACATATCACTATATTTGAGAAAACAGCTTTGGTTAATGCCACTCAAAAACCAATGCTATGATGTCCTGTTCTCCACTCCTCCGATCATCTCTTGGAACACCCTTCACCATTTCAACGAGGAGGAGGTAGGGGGAATCCTTGAAGGTGATGGACAGACTAGGCCATACCATTAGAAACCACAGGCTGGGGTCTATCCCGGCCACTTCTTCAGCACGGTGACACAACATAAAACTAATACTTCTGAGGGACATCTATGACTACGGGAGGCATACTTAATGGAACTAAAATGATCCAATCAATACGCATATAAATGTGTATATATTTTGTTTATCTCAGCATTTTTTAAATTGAATCAAGTTTTTTTTTTAAAGTACTGTTTTCTATATTCAGTGCACTCTGATATTTCATTTTCTATTCTAACACATCTTACTGTTGGTTATAACTCATTAAATCGATTTCTTGACTCACTAATGAATGGGCTACAACCTGCAACTTGAAAATCACAGCTTGAGAAGATGCGCAAGTCAATCATCTTCTTTCGCTGATGAGAAAAAGCCCAAAAAACTGAAAACGTCAGTTGAATAGTGACTGTTTATTTACTTCTAGGAAGATCACAGGAGAAAGTATAAGACTCAAGAAATACAAAAAAATGTAATAGTACTCCACCCCCCCACCCCCCAAAAGAGGTTCCTGTTCTGGCATTTAATAATCATCACCGTTGTTAATCACTGGCTTCCAACACACACAACCCTACACTAAGTATATATAATTTATATACATAAAATGCAACATATAAATTATATACTTTATTTTTAATATATAAATTTTTTTTTTTTTCCCCAGGTCATTCCGACAGCCTTTCAAAATAACAAAGTAAGTCTGGGCTATGTGGCTCAGTTGGATGAAGCATCACCCAATACACCAATAGGCTGTGGTTTCAATTCCGAATCAGGGCACATACCCAGGTTTCAGGTTCAATCCCCTGCTGGGGCGCATACAGAGGCAACTGATAGGTTTCTCACATTGACGTTTCCCCTCTCCCTCTCTCTCTTTAAAAAAATCAATAAACAGCCCGGCCGGGCGTGGCTCAGCAGTTGAGCATCGACCTACGATACAGGTGATCAGGGTTCGATTTCCGGTCAGGGCACATGCCCGGGTTGTGGGCTCGATCAATGACTCTCTCATCATTGATGTTTCTGTCTCTCTCTCTTCCTCTCCTTTCCTCTCTCTGAAATCAATAAAGATATATTAAAAAAAAAAAAATCAATAAACATATCCTCGGATGAGGATTTTAAAAACAATAACAGCCCTGGTTGGGTGGCTCAGTTGGGGGGACCATTGTCCTGAACACCGAAAGGTTGCGGGTTTGATCCCCAGTCAGCAATCAATCAATGTTTCTCTCTCACACGGATGTCTCTCTCTCTCTCTAAAAAAAAAAAAATCAATGGAAACATGCCCTTGGGTGAGGACTGAAAACAATAATAACAACAACAACAAAGTGTTGGATGTGAAACAGGTCAGTTGGCCCCAGAGCCTAAGCTCTTCACCATTAAGTTACAATAAACTCTTCCTAAAAGAACAGGCGTTCCCAACTCTAGCTGTACATCAAAAATCCACTGTGGAGTTAAAACAAAACAAGCAAATAATTAAGTGCTACACCAAAAAGAGATTTTTAAAGTTGAATTAGCAAATATTATAGAGAAATATATTTTGTAAACAATGTATCAAATATCATAATTATGTCAGAAAAGGTCTTTTTGAACAGTACATACTGTGTACCGTCAGACATACAACGCCTGCTTCAAATGAATGACTGCCTTGGTTAATAAGCAGCTGACTTTACCCTGAAACTTGATTAGATCACTCATTATGAACTAGAATTTAATATAAAGCAGTTTTATCTTAGATTTAATAACTAAATTCCATTCAGAATTTAACTGATGACATGTCAAAAGGATCTTAACATAAGATAGCCTGACTGATAAAGATTACAGACTCCACTAGTGCATTCTATTCAACTTATCTATTCATGATTTAAACCTCGGTCTTCCCAACATATTTTCTTTCCTTCATTACCTAAATATAAAGAATGCTGAACCTGACGTAACAATGAATTTAGCATCCTCCCTGGGTTGATTCACTTCTCCCACTGTTAAGAAATCATTTCGTACCAAGCACACAGTACAAAATTAGGAGGTTTGCAAGGGTTCAAATAATTAAGAAATGGTTTTGTCTACATCACTCAAATAAAATATTATGAACATAAAAACCTAAAAGATTTGTGATGGTTAAGTGGGGAATACAAAACCTAGAATTACCACTACTAGCAACCACAAATAACAGCAGGACTACACACCACAAACACATGAATGATTAACTGTATACATACAATCCCACTATTAATAATTACTCATTTCCCTCTCAGTAAAAAATTCTTTATAAAAGACAAAGCAAGCACAAACTATAAATGGTCCAAGTAAGGATTATTTTGATTGGTAAAATTAATACCTCAACTGAAGAATTTATCCAACTACTTCCTGTTCAGGCTACCATGAAACGACAGCACTGCAGAGAAACTAGTCTATGACAGAGACCAGACAGATAATTACAGACTAACACATAAATAATCCCTAAACTATTCGGTTGAAGAAATCACAGCTCATTACTATTAAAATCTAGGGGAAATATCTACACCAGTGCCTTCTCTAACCATATCTCAAAGGGGAAAAAAAATTCACTCAACAAGCTTGTGATATATGGCTTTTTCCTAATAAACATACTACTGCCCTAAGTCCATAACCCATCTGCAATCTAAATATTAAAATATCTTAAAATATGAGATAATTAACTATGGAATTATGAACATTCATTCTATCCATGACCTTGGGGTCACTGGGAGGTTTCTAAAGCATACCTTTTAATCCACGCCATGGCGCTTCAAGAACATGTTAAGGTAAGTCACAGCCTGGGACACTCCGATGCACCTCAAAACACCTCAGCCAGTGTATCTGTATCATTCTCTTTTCCTTTTGAGATCATAATGGTTCCGAAGAACTACAAGGCTTCCATTTGAATGATAGTCTCATAATTTCAATGACTTAAAAACAAAAACAAAAAATAAGGACTTAAATGTTGGTATGTTAAGCCACTAGTACACTGTGTTAACTGCTGCCATAACTAAGAAAAACAAAGCTGCTGCTACAATTATGTAACACTGTCGTTTTTCATGTGAACCCTAAATGAATTAGGAGTATGTGCTTAGCAGTCAGAGTGACAGCCCTTGCTTTGTTGAGATCTACCAACACCCCACAGAAATCTCCAACCCAGCTGATTCTTTTATTTTCTTCTCAAGGAATGAAAAATAACCTAAAAGACAGGTAGATGCCAGGTATACCTCTGATTAACCAACTATTCTATTCTGTGTCGAATGACAGCTGGAAATCACCCACACCTGTAGAAAAAGGAATTCACTAATAGACTGCAGGGATTCCTTCAAACAATGCCCCTCCTGGTGTTAATATTAGTGAATCATTTCAATCACATGGGAGTCATTAAATTAAAAAGAGCTCCTGTTTCCAAAGCTTATTTCTATGAAGAGCATGCGTATAAAATGAACATCTATGTGGCTGTCAAGTTTTACTGCTGCTTTCTGATTATCTTGGTAGGTTCTTCCTCACCCCACTCACCTTTCTCATACAAATACATTAAAAACATTTCATTATTAAAATGATACAGTAAAAAGTGTATCACATTTTAAATCTAAGAATTCACTCTACTTTTGCTTCAAGTTTGGCATTCTATAGTTACAAGAACGAATGAATACTCAAGCTTTATAAAAGTAAAGCTAACAAACTATCAATAATACACACACATCCATGTTATGAACAATTAAAATTACTTTGGGATGACTGATCAGGAAATTTTTGATAAAAGCAAGCTCTAAAAGGGCTCCCAAGGAAAGAGGAAGCATGAGGTTCTGTTACCCCTGGCCTGTGGCCCAGCTCACAGGGAACAGAAGAGGGCTCAGGCCTCATGGGAGCTAAAAGGCACGTGGCAGGCATGTGCTAAGAAAGGAGAAAGTGAAACTACTTTATGTCCGAAAGGGTCGTCAAGTGATGAAAACCTTTCGAGCCCGTCAGAAAAACTGCATGTTCCTGAAGATTTAGGTCTATTGTAGGTTGTGGAGAATGCAGGTTACAAAATGCAGGTCACTGCTCAGAAGGCTGACAATGGTGGCAGAGCTGCACCTGGATAAGAGCTACAAGAGTGGGTGGGAAGAAACTAAGGAACAGACACGAGGGCCCTAGCCCAGTGAAGTCACTGCAGCCACAGCCATCTTTTTAAACTTATCATTTTACCACATTAGTGCAACACCCTGAGTTCCCACTGCAGCTTTAAATCACTTAATAGTCTGTATTATGTATACAACTTCCTGGAAGGACATCTACATAATTTCCTATACTCTCTGCCTCCAAATAAATGCACCCTACACACAACCATCAGGTTAATGTTCCTAAAGTGCAGTCTCAAATAAGAATGTTAACCACTGGGAAGTAAGGCAGTATATATGAACATTAGATAATAAGAATGAAAGCTTAGGTCTGACACACTTACTCATTACCTCATTTAATTTTCAGAACCCCTGTTTACAGAGAAAAAAACAGGTTCTCTGATCAAGTGACTGGGCCCAAGAATATATGCAATAAAAGAACTAGGGCTTAAATCTAGAGCTCCCAGCCGGAATTACAGCACTTTTCTACTACGATACTGTGTGGAGCAGTGTTATGGGGAGGGCATGGTACTGAGGCTAAACTAACATTTCTTGACAACATGCCAAGTACCATGCTAAGCACTTGATGTTATTTTATTTTATCCTGATCTACCCCTCACAAGACTGACTAGTTGCCCCCTTTTACAGGTGAGTAGATTGAGGCACATTCTGAGAGATTTAAGTGATCTACTCAACATCAAATATCAGAGACTTGAAAGTAGTGGGAAAGTCGATCTCACATGTCCAACTCTAAAACCCACTCTCTCATGTTGCTATGCCAACCTATCTTCCAGAAACAATAAAAAAAAAACAACCACCAACACTTAAGTTTATTTTTCAACCTGAATGATACAGCAATAATCTAACTTTATAAATGCTTCTTACTCAAAACCCAGTCAATACATATAAACAGATTTTTAGCTATGGTTTAGCAAGACTATACACACATTTACTAAAGTCAGTAAGAAGGATCAGAATTATATTTAATACTCAAATAAGAAACTTCATTTGATTCCTACAAATGAAATCCAGTATTTTCATTAAGTTATGTATTTGATCTTTTAAAGCTGACTTGGAATTCATAGTACTGCCAAATTTCCATCTTGGCCCTGTCCCATGGACTGCTACCAGTCTTAGCCTCATGGGAAGTGAAGTCATTTATTAGCTGAGGGAGGTGAGGCCATTCAGTCAAGCAGTAATAAAAAAGACCAGAAAAAGCAGATGGATAGCTCTCTACAATGCTTTATTTAAAACATGATTAAACTAAAAGAATAACCAAAAGCACTGAAAAAAATCCCCCAAATTGAGGACAGGAAACTCCTAAGCAACTTCAAGATTTGAATGGAAATCATGTGCTCATATTGCATTCCAAAACTAACTGAAGAAATGATCAACAGAATTACTATACCAATGTATTGTAACATGTTGGATCAAGAAGCCATTTTTTAAATTTCTGAAACACAGTATTGCAGAATTATATTCAAGGGTTGAAAGCTGTTACAGTAATAAAATTAACTGGCCATTTAACAGCATAACTATTCTGTATAACTCATTTTACAAGCATTAATGTCCAAACAGATAAAAGGTGATACAGAAATTTTCCAGCTTTTAAAATATACCTAGGTAGACTCACTCCAGGAGAAATTAAGTTTTGACAAGGGACGAACACAAAATTAATAAGGAAGTATGAAAAAATATAGGTTGCTGGATTTGGTTTGAATGGATAGCTGCATCCTTGCAGGGTCTTTCCTGATCCAGCTTCTGGTCTCCTCCTACCCATACAGATACAACAGATGTTCTCACCATACTGGACTTTGAATACATTTCTCAGAATATACCACGGTGTTTCCAGTCTCTGGACCTCTGCACATGTTATTTCAGGAGCAGTGGTTGAAACAGAATTTAACCTCGCATCATAATAATTAAAAGAATACTATAAATAATAAAATATAATATAAAAAGGATAAAAAATAAATAGGTGAGATTTGGAGTAAAAAAACAAAAATTATTAATGTTCAGTGCCTACAATGTGTTACATACTACATGCTGAGCCAAGTTGGTGTTTTTACATAAATCTCATAGACTTATTGTAAGAGCTTTTTGAGAAGAAAAATACTAAAATTGAGTTGATGCACTCTTTAAATTAGATGCTAAAATTTAGGGGATGTGTTCTACTACAGATACTTGAATTTTAAACAAGTTTTGTCAACTAACTTGGAAACAGTCTTATTATATAATGACAGAAAATTAACCGTTGCTACTATCAAAAGTATGAAAATGACATTCTAGGAATTTCAATTCTAAACTAGTTTTGCCAATGCTAATAAGGATTTCAAATATAAAGCTAAACCTGGTTTTGAATAATTTTCAAAGAACCTTTCCAGGAATCATAAACTGCTCTAATTCCCATCTCTATAGTAAAACTGTAATTCTTTTCCAATTAAACTCTGGAGCAAGGGGATGTCAAGCATCTATAGCTAAGAGGCTGAACTCAGGATCAATGAGACTCAGTAACTAAAAGACACTTGTAATCTAGCAATTCTAAAATATGAAACATTCAGCTAATTTTACTTTGGGGAACTCTCAAATGCAGAAGCTCTTTTCTTAAAATGCATATCCTAATTTTCAGTAACACTGAAAAAACTTCTATCAAAGTGCCTGCTCTTAAAGTAGCCAACACCCAGGGTTGAATGGGGATATGCCTGCATTTTTTGTTAGAATTCTAGATGGCACAGCATGGACAGGTATAATTTAGATATAAATGCACACGTGCGCGCGTGTGCACACACACACACACATCCTTTTTCAAATGGATTAGTGTACGTGCTTGGAGACCAAAGCTAGGAGGGTGGGACAGCAGAGAGGAGACAGAAGAACAGTAGTCCCAAAGTGCTGATTAGGGGAGAAGAAGTAATAATAAAGTAAATCTGCCCATAAGCACGATGATGCATTTATTCCAAACAAGCAAATCAACAGAAGCTTCTTTCCTTTCTAGAATTTGAGGAAACTAAAAAAATGCTAAAGAGCATAAATCAAATTTACCTCTACTTTCTTTGTACTTTTTACATGTATATTTATAAAAATGTTTATGGGTGAATTGAGTTTCTCCCTATCATTTTCTCCTTTTGCTTAGGTCTCTTTTAGTTTAAAATAAAATGTGAATTTTGGTGGCTTAATAGATTATGTGGCATGAGTGATAAAGACTGTGCTAATCAAGTTGTGAACTTGGAGTCAGGAGTCATAGGTTAGAAACTTACTTGGATATGTAACTTCTGACCAGTCACAACTTATCTGTAGATGATACCAGTACAAAACTGCAGTTGTAAAGCCTAAATAATGCTGAGCTGTGAAAACACGCCCGCCAGAGTAGGCATAAACATTTATTGACTTTGAAGGCAAAATCTGGTGTTACTGCTAAAGCCACTACTCTAAAATCAAAATAAAACATTTTCCTAGGAAGGGTTTAATGTAATGCTCAAGTTTAATGTAATACTGTAAGTCTAAAAATTTTTTCACACTTATTCCAATTGTGTGGGTGATCAAGTCTGTGGCTCTAAGAAATGCCTTCAAGCACTCTCTCCTTTCTTTTGACAAATTCACTAGTTCAACAAACACTTGAACATCTACAATGTGTCAGTCCTTTTTTTTAAGCACTGAGGATAACACCTCAGTGTATAAATCAGACCAAAATCCTTAGCAGCATGATTTGCATTGTAATTAGAAGGTGGTAAATGCTATGAAGAGAAACGTAAGGAAAAGATAAGGAAGACGGGATGAGGTGCAATTTTATTTATTAAGATTTTTTTTTTTTAAGAGAGAGAGAAAGG